TGAATGTTGGACCAGTGAGAGAAGGGTCTTCAGTGTTTGCTAGAAAATGAAAATAAAAATTGAAAGTCCTTTAGACCAGAGTAGGTGTCTTGTTCATTCTTTAGGTTAAAAGAAGTAAATATATAATTTCTTTTCTAATTTGGAATATCTTTCTCTGCCGAAGATTATTCTTGTGGTGGCCTGCTTTCCTCTTCATCTGGTACATTACAGAGCCCATTTTACCCCGGAAATTATCCAAACAATGCCAACTGTGTGTGGGAAATAGAAGTAAAGAGCAACTTCCGTGTCATGCTTAGATTTGGAGATATTCAGTAAGTAAGAATTTATTACTTGGGAAGATGAATGTATGGGACTGACAACTTGGGCTTACTAAGCAAAGGCCTGTTTGATTTCAAGGATCTTTTTTGAAGATTTTAAGTACATCTGAGATGAGAAATGTGGGTTTTTTTGTTTATTGAGTCAAAAATGTGGCTGGCAACTAATGAGACAGAAATTTCTATCTCAAATATTTGATAGTCAGAAGAGTAAAACATACTCTTCTGCTATAAAAAAGTAAAAACAAACAAACAAACAAACAAAAAACAACAACAAAAAAACCAGAAACAAAACCAAACAAACAAAAAGCAAAAACCCCCCCAAAAAAAACGCTTAATAAAAATTAAACATTTAACTAAATTTTTCATTTTTTCTCCCCAGGATGGAAGGTGGTAGATGCCTCTCTGACTACATAGAAGTCTATGACGGGCCCCTGCACACCTCTCCTCTCCTTGGGAAGTTCTGTTCTGGTTATTATCGCACATACACGTCCTCCTCAAACCTGATGACCGTCCGATTCCACAGCAACTCTCGATACACTTACAGAGGGTTTCAGGCCAACTATTACTCCACTCCAGGAGATGACAGCACAAGTAAGTTCATCTTTAAAGCAGAAGTAAAAATTGCCTCTCAATTATTTGCTAATTTGCTGACTGTTAATCTTGTTATACCAATTTCACCCATTTCGTGTGACTTTAAATTGGATCTGTAGCGTTTTCGTACAGATTCAAGTATACAGTTTGGATTCTGAACTCCTTCTGCCACATCAACTGCTTCTTCAAAAGATATTTTTAATTTAATTCTCAACTTCCAACCTTTTTTGGGGACACTTCAGTGAGCTCATAACGTGTTTTCTTTGCCATCCACTAGCCCTGCTGTGTTTGCCAGACTACATGCACGTAGTTGTGAGCAGATACTTCCTTCAGTCCCACGGCTACTCTGTTTGGAATCTCACCCTGAATGACCCCTTTTGCAAGCCCAACATCTCCTCAGAGTCTGTTGCCTTCGACATTCCCTACACTCACTGTGGCACAGTCAGAGAGGTAGGAATAAATGGTCCAAAAAAATGGGCAAATATTGGGAGGATATAAAAAATTCAAATAGAAGAGTTAGCTTTGAAAACCAGCACAAACTGAAAATTATGCTGGGGTGTGTAGGGACTGGAAGTGTCCTCTCCTTCTCCTGAGGGGTAAGGTTTGTTAGCACTGGTGTTTCCTGCATCTGCTGCCAGGGCATTCCCTCATAGCCTGTTATAGATATTCTGAGGAACAAGTTGTGGGAGAAAGAAAAAATTTGGCATTTTCAAGGTTCCAGGCTAAATGTGAGGGTTAAAAACATCTCAAAGCTTTCATTAAGCATGACTAATCATGTTTAAAGCCAGATTTTAGCTTAAATACGGTACTGGACCTGAACCTCTATGTCTATAATGTTTAAAGCATTGTACAGGTTGTAGTTCAGTTATGTCTGCATTTAATGTGAGTAGTTTTCTAGGCCAACACTGCATATCACGTGGAGATTACAGATTCTTATCTTGAGGACAGAAATTACTGGATTCGAACTTTCCCATGGCAGACTTTCTGGGAAATGATGTTTTTACTGTGCACATTGCTGTAAGGATACAGAAAAGTTTGAAGGTGCAGTAGGGTGCACCATGAATTAATTTTGCCTTTTATTTTATGCATCAAACAGGGAAACAACGACACAATCAGCTACTCCAACGTTATTAAAGGGTCCTCTGCTGATACTGTAATCACAAGAAACAGAAATCTCCACCTGCATGTCAACTGCAAGATGCTCCAGGACACATGGGCACAGACGATGTACGTCGCGGACAACAATTTTGAAGTCAATGAAACTCAGTACAGCAGATACGACGTAAACCTTACGTTTTATGACTCTTCATACTTCTCACGGCCAGTGTACGACTCACCATACTATGTCCATATCAACCAGAATTTGTTCCTTCAAGCCTACCTGCACAGCTCTGATCTAAACCTGATGCTGTTTCTGGACACGTGTGTGGCATCTCCAACTCCCCACAACTCTACGGCAGAAACCTATGACATCATCCGGAATGGGTGAGCTCTTATGCATAACAATTGCAGATAGAACTGCCTCTGAACTCCTGTATCTGTCCCTTTTTCCCCTCCCCTCTCGCATCCTTTGTTCTATCACATGTAAATAAATGACTGCAATGTGTATTCATGAGATGTTTTTTTTTTTTTTCCTTCTTTTCAGGTGTGTTCGAGATTCTACCTATGCTACATATTATTCACCCCGCAGAAACATCCTGAGGTTTAAATTCAAGGCCTTCCAGTTTGTCTGGAGCAATCCAGAGGTTTACCTGCGCTGTGAACTGGTGGTGTGCAGGGCCTCTGACTACTCTTCCAGGTGCTACCAAGGCTGCATTAACAGGTCCAAGAGAGAGGCAACCTCTGACCAAGAAAGCGTGATTGTTGTTGCCGGCCCAATACAGCTTTGGGAACGCGATAATGAGAACAGGAATGAACTTGGATCTAAGTAAAACTGCCTCCTTTGACAGATAGGTCTTTCAGTGCCAAGTGAGTTCTGAAAGAAACTATGCTGCTAGATTACCAGAAGCTCTAGGATGAACATTAGGAATGTGCTTACTGATTCATGCCTGTTAATCCCACTTCGCATCAGTCATTTTCATCTCCATATAAAAAATTGCTATTTCAGCAGTTTTGTGATCTCTAAGCTTTTTGTTTGTTGTTTGCTGTCTTAGTGGTAGAACTGAAATGTTTAAGTTGCAGTTCAAGTTCTATAAACAAGTTCTGTTAATATACATCTGAACCTGGATATATCAGAGTGCAAGAAGTTGGTTAGTTTTTAAATCTGATCCAGAATGCCATTCTTTTTTTTGTTTTGGTGATAACAAGATGAGGGATCAAGTGTAACTGGATTCTCTCATCTTTCTAAGAGCTGAAGTCTTTTGTCATCCAGGAGAACATGAATTCAACTCCTGTTCTGTATCTCATGTTTCTCAAGCATCTTTTGTTTTTGCTGTTGGCCCCTGGCAGTTCATAGAATCCTAAAATGCCCTGAGTGGGAAGGGACCCTCAAGGATCACTGAGTCCAACTCCTGGCCCTGCACAGACACCCCAACAATCCCACCCTGCCCCTGAGAGGAACCTTATCCTGATAAAACCTAAACCAACTTCAGGCCATTCCCTTGCATCCTGTCACTGGTTCACTGGAGAGACCAGTGCCTGTCCCTCTGCTTCCCCTCATGAGGAAGCTGCAGATCAGGATGAGGTCTGACCCCAGCTGCTGTTCTCAGTCTTGCTGGCTTTCTCTTGAAACATAAAGTGAAGAAATTAATTCCATACCAGATCCTGTAAGCCTTGGTAAACACCAACAACTGATCACATTGGTAAAGTAATCTGAGGGACTGAGCAATTTCCTTGATTTGAGTAATTTCATTGACAGTTCGAGATTAACACCCAAGCGTGACAGGCTTTCTATGGTGGTGGCTGAGGTCGTGAAAACAGGTGGGTTTGACAAAAAAACTCAGCACTGAAAGAAGCCAGAAGACCAGGGGAAGTTTGCAGCCCATTAACAACCCTCAGATTTGTTGCCAGTATTAGGTTCTCAAATCTTATCACAGTACCGTGAACCATCAGCTTACTTCTCTCAAGATGGTTATCTTGACTCTGGTAGTGGCCTGGGTTGTAGAGAACACAGATAGCTGGTTCTTGCTCCACAACAGACATGAGTTTGTTTCCCGCCTTTTCAGATGTAAATTAAGCACAAGGGTCCTCCTTTTCCATAGGGTAGTTGTGAGTAAATCACAAATGGTAATGGAGCCCCTCGGTACCTGTGAGAGGTACTCAGTAAATCTCAGTGTGATGCAATGTGTGCCTTTACCCTTCAGACAAGGGACTGCAGGAACTGCCCTGTAATGTTTTCTGTTTCCACTGCAGTCAGTGCTAGCAAGCTCAATATTTGAACTCAAGTTCTACTGTTATACTCTCCCAAGCCTTCTCTTTAATCCTGTTTCCTATCACTTCCAAATTTTTGAGAAGTAGATAAAATTTTGCGTAAAAATTTCGTGGAATAACGAAATGTTTCAAACGTAGAAGGTTTTATGTAGCTAAAAATACCTGGATAATCATGCATGGCTGAAAGACAAAAATTATTCTTCCAATTGCATAAGGATCATCATATATAATGTCTGAATATTTGTGACAAGTTCTTGTTGAGAAAATGAGTTATTTAAGTTATTTTCTATTATGGTCGATTTCCAATATAAATTATGTAATTAAAAAATCAGGAAGATAGTGTTTCTAGGTTGATATTCCTAGGTTGATTCCTGGAAGTGGCTCTGCATTTTGCACTCAAAATTTTGATGTCTTGAAGGACATCATCTCTAATGTGGAGTTTTTCCAAGTGATATGTTGTTTGTATATGGGGTTCTCCTGCAAGAACACAGGGCCATCACAAATCTGAGCTGTGAAAAAAATTCCAGGAAGGTCGTATTTGTGGTCCAGATCTGCTGTGAGATCAGCACTGCATAACAGCTTAGTCTGTACCCTACTGCCTGAGTCAGGCACTTCAGTAAAATTCATACAAATCCTAATTATAATATTACCATGATAGTATAATTATTGGTACAGGGTAACCTAGCACTTCACTGTCAGGCAAAATCAGTTCTGGAAAACAAAAGTCTCATGCCCAGGGGCTTTCTTTGTTTATTTGGTGGTGTTGGTTTTTTGGTGGTTTTTGTGGGGTTTTTTTTGCCCATAAATAATTTCACGTGCGGGCAGTATAGCTTTTTTTTTTTTTTTTTTTTTCAATACCAAAGCTTTGCTTCATGTAGGGCAAAAGTGCCAGTTTTTCAGCTTGCATTTCTGCAGGGAAAAAAGATACCAACCACTAGCAATAAATGAGCATTAGCAGGGTTAATAACGCCTTCCTGGAGTGCAGTACTTCTTGAAAACACAAACTGTTTGAAAATTGCAAGGTGGCAAAAGGGCTGTCACTCCAAGAATACCTGGCACTCACTATCCAAAACGTCCACACATTCATCATCATCCTCGCTATCGCTGCTGTAAATCTCGGTGTCGATATTAGATACGGACTTGAAAGTTTCCCGACTACTTCTTTAATTGCAGTTTCTTATCACTTCCCCAAAGCAACAATTTAAGCTCTCTGACCTCCTCCCTCAGCAACTCGTTCTCTGTAGTCAGTTTATTCACTCTCTCCCAAATCCCTTTCAAAATCCAAAGACGATTTTAGCGCCTCATTTTCCGATTTCAAAACACTATATTCCACACCTGCAATCTTTGCAGGAGCAGGCAAATTTTTTTGCTTCTCGCTGGGCATAAGGTAAACACGCTCCTAAGGCAGCACAAATAGTACCTTTACCCTTCCCTTCTTTACACTTTTTCTCTTCCTGTTTCCCCAAAAAGCAGTAAATTTTGTGGATGGTACGTGCTGGAGTGAGAGATATTGAGAGATCCTCATCTGCTGAGCCCTCAGAGCAGCTTTGCTTTGAAGTCTCCGGAAAGGGCATTTTCATCCTTAGTGCTGGACTGTGTGTGATAAGGCTGTCCTGGGACTGTGGCCAAGGCAGGTTAAAATGAACTTTCAGTGTCTGCTCTCAGGTCTGCTCCACCTGAGTCAACAGACCGTTAGCACCTTCACTGCAACATTTAAGACCTTTGGAAGAAGGGGCAAGAAAATCAGGGGGGCTACAAGGATGCCATGAGGTCATACAGGCAGGACATCAGAAGGGCCAAAGCCAAACTAGAATTTACCCTGGCTGATGCTGCAAAACATAATTAAAAATGTTTCTATAAATTTATTAGCAACAAAAGGAGGGCTGAGGAGAATCTCCTTCCTTTAATGGATGTGAGGGGAAACATGCTGACAAAGGCTGAGGTATTTAATGTATTCTTTGCCTCAGCCTTCAAAGGTAAGACCAGGTGTCCTGTAGTTGCCCACTCTCCTGAGCTGGAAGTCAGGGAGCAGAGTTAAGCCTCAATGATCCAAGGGGAAATGGTCCAAGGGGAGCTGCTGCACCACTTGGACACCCACGAGTCTCTGGGCCTGGATGGGATCCACCCCAGGGTACTCAGGGAGCTGGTGCAAGTGCTCACTGAGCTACTTTCCATCATCCCTCGGCAGTCCTGACTGACTGGGGAGGTCCCACTCGACTGCAAGTGAGCAAATGTGACACTCATCTTTCATAAGGGCTGGAAGGATGATCTGGGGAATTCCAGGCCTGTCAGCCTCACCTTGGTGCCAGGGAAGGTTATGGAGCAGATCATCCCTAGTGCCATCGTGCAGCATATCCAGGACAACCAGGGAATCAGCACTGGTGAGGAACCTCAAATCCTGGGCGCGGTTTTGGGCCCCCAACTGCAAAAATGTCACTGAGGTGCTGGAGTGTGTCCAGAGCTGGGAAAGGGTCTGGAGCAAAAGTCTGATGAAGAGGAACTGAGGGTGCTGAGAACATGTTCAAAATTTCTCAAGGGAAAAACCCTTCTATCAGAGTTCAATGCCTTTGACTTATCATGTGCCACTGTGATAAAAAGTAATTGCATAAAGCCAGAGGGGAAGTTTCTTAGGAAGGGTCTTGGAGGGAAAGAGGGCTAAGAGATAACGTAGATTAAGGATGAAAGTTTAGCCGTTCAGATGTACTTAATATTTATAATTAAACTATGTGGAGTAGCTAATGGTTTCTGATAAATTTCTGTTATCATGCCACTACAACCTACATAATTGCAGCAAAACATCGTCTCTATAATTTTCTCTCTATTAAATACCGGTGAGTGAATAGAAAGTATATCATTGTCCTCATAGTTGTATTTACACTGTCATATTTGCATTAAGGTCTGAGGTTTTCCTCAGCATTCCTTGGCTATGTATGTCTTCTCCAGCTATATATCAAATCTTAAATTTTAGGTTGAATGGTGTAGTCATTGTAGTGTTCTTAGTAAATGCAGATAATGACTGTTAATAACTGACATCTACTCACATTTTTTAACCACTCTTTCCTTAAGTGCTCCACCAAATCTTGGTGGAAAAGGCTTGTGGTAGCATTTATTTCCCTTTCAAGGCTGCTGGTCTTGAGCTCAGTCAAAGGCCACATTATTACTATTCTTAGCTCGAGCTCTTGGTTCAAAGTGACACCAATCTTCCTACAGTGTAAGGGGGCAGCTATGAAGAGAACAATGGAATAAGCCAATGGCTATTGTCTTTTTCTTTTTCAAGGGGTGACTCATGAATGCTTATGACAAGAAAAAATCAATTCATTGTGTTATTGAGTTCACGTGAACCAGGGAACACCAAGGGCAAAGCAGTTGCAGCACAGTGAAATCCTCAAGGAAAGAATATAGGTCATTCAGGGGATGAGATGTATGAGATTCTTACAACAGATAACTTGCAAGCACAATGCAGAGTCTTTTGTGAGTACTTTGAATATGGAATTATGGCACAGCCAGCTCCTGGGGTCTCTCCTTTATACTAATTCTTGGTTATTTATGCAACAGCAAACAAAGAGTGGAGCCCACTGGGCAGACCTTACCACTCCCTCAGCCTACCTGAGGGCATTGCTGCCTTCCAATGCTGAAGAGCAAAACCTACTGCGTGGTATTGGCT